TCATTCGTTTTTCAATATAAAACCAAAAATTAAAAAAAGAAAAAATAACTGTTTTCTTCATTATTTGTCTCCAAAACCAAAATGAAAAAACGGATAACGGCTGTTTCCCGTTTACGTGACTTCGGTGACTGCAATGCTGGACTGAACCAGGACTGATCCAGGTCTGGGACAAGAGCGGACTCTGAGTTTTGACTCCGAGCCTCAGCTTCGAGCTCCAGCCTTGCCATGGGCTCTGAGTCTCCGGTCAGGTCCCAGCCTGGTCTCGGTCTCAGTCTCGGTCTGGTCCCAGTTTGGTCTTGGTCTCAGTCCTGCTTTGGTCAGGGTCTGGTCTCAGTCTCGGTCTGGTCCCAGTTTGGTCTTGGTCTCAGTCCTGCTTTGGTCCTGGTCTGGTCTCAGTCTCGGTCTGGTCCCGGTCTCAGTTCTGATCTCAGTCTCGGTCTGGTCCCAGTCTGGTCCCGGTCTCAGTCCCGGTCTGGTCCCAGACCTGGTTCAGGTCTGGTTCATTCCTGGTTCAGGCATCGCGGTCACGGAAATCACGTAAACAGGAAACAACCGTTATCCATTTTTTCCATTCTTCATTTAAACACAAAATCAAAAAAATGAAAAAACGAATCGTTACCTGTTTTTTTCATTTTCTTATTTTTGGTTTTATATTGAAAAACGAATGAACCAGTGACACACGGATTCCGCTCACAGTCAGAATGTTTGTTTTTCTCTGTATTTTTGAGCAATAAAACCACCTGTAACTGAATAAATCATGACTTTTTTATATAAAAGGAACAGATATCCTCATTCCTTTTCAATTGTGTAACCGGCGTGTAAATGTATTGTATCCGAAATACTGCAATAACTGCCAAATAATCACATACAAGCTTGAATGCCAAAGACACAAAAGTGATATTCCTGTTCTCCCAATTGCTGCGTTTCAGATGATCTCATAACGTTCTATAGGCCAATATTATTTCATACAGATGCTGTAATCAATATTGTTCAACTACAGGTTTTTGTTGTAATAGACTCTATTCGCGCCTACCACAAGATGTTTGGATTCGGAAGCATGCAGATGACGACCCTTAAAAACCCTTAAAAATAAAAAATTGAAGGAGCCTCATAAAATACATATGTTTGGTACCATATGAAAGCTCTTTTTCTGGTCTTTCAAAGAAAAAATATTCAAAATTTTTTCATCACTACCCACATGCCATAAATTACATGTGAAAATTGGACCATGTTGTATTTTCTTGTTTTTAACAGGACCCTCACACAAAACCTATTTCAAATTTTCAGCATTTGGTGATTTCTTTTAACAGTCCTAGTACAAATCTTGATTCTCAAAAAAGTTTAAGGGTCTCCTACACCTACAAGCAGGTTTAAAAGGGGGCTAAAAAAAGGTACGCCATGGAAATGAACAATTTTTTTTTTTTTTCATTTTTAAGTTCATATAAAATGACAATGAGTTGAGATACCGAGCTTTCGATAGATGTTATTTGAACACAGAGTAGAGGAGCACAAGTCTACAAAATTTCAGCCTCTGTGTGTGATACTTACGGAGATATCGACCTGTGAAAACGGCCGAGAAAAAATGATGCGATTTTGGGCCCATAAATTGACACATACTCCCCTGAATAAATGAGCCGTAACTTGAAAAGTAATGATTGAAATAATAATAATAATAATGAAATGAAAATCACTAAAACTTCACAGGGTTGGTACATGATAGTAAGGGACTATTTGTTTTTAAGATCGAAGTGCGTGGGCCATTTGGTGAAATGGCGTGGAATGACCCTATTGCCAACAGAGCCCAAAGGAAGTCGTCATCCGCATGTTCGGTTTTGTGACGTAAGCGTGAATAGAGCCTATATAACATCGTCTTGGGTCTAGATCAGGGGTGCTCACACTTTTTCAGCATGTGAGCTACTTACAAAATGACCAAGTCAAAATGATCTACCTAATACAAAGCCAAGCAAACTGCACTGAAACACTGCGTGCCTTTTTTTGGACCCTCACCCACAGTTTGAGAACCTCTTCTTTAAGAGAACTTCCTCTGGCACTTTACACAAAACTGTGAAAAAAGTGAAGGAAGATTTTTAAACCCGTTTTTTTTAAAGTTCCAAACTGGAGTTGCATTCTTTTCTGGTTTTGCAGTGATATTTACCAGCCTCTGCACGTTTACCAAACCAAACGCACATCGTGACAAACACAGATGCATTTGTGCACTTTTGTTAGACAAAATGTGGCAGTAGGTCTGTTCTGTAGATCTACTCTATGCTGTAGACCTGCTTTGTGCCAACACTGGAACACAAATTTAGACTGGTTTTTGCTTCACGTTTGGTCTTGCTCTTCTAATCAGCCGCACTGTGGGAGGGGCTTGTGTTCGCTGTACGCAGGAAGGAGCGAGAGCGTGAAAAGGCGAGGGGCGGCGTGCTGACGTGAGGCAGATGGACAGGTAGGATGTTTAGGAAGTTGAATCTGCCCTGTGATGCACGCTGGTACACGAGGGCACACGCTGTCGCAGACGAGCCGTGCATAGGGAGCGTGTGTGTTTGTGATGCGCCGTAGAGTCTCTGCGGGTTTCAAATGAGCGCACAGGCTGCACTGAGACGCCCCACACGCTCCTGCACCCGCTACAAGTTTATTACCAACAGCAGCGGCCGTAATGAAATATGATCGCACTTGTTGAGTGTCAGACCTCGAGTGAGAGACAAGACCGAGTCCAAACGCGAGTCCGAGACGAGACACGGTGATCTACCCACACGACCTTGGCGATCGACTGGTAGATCGCGATCGACGTATTGAGCACCCCTGGTCTAGACAGTAATAGAAATGATGAGGTTCCATATTTGGGAATTTACCTTTCCAATATTCCATGGTAAAGTACAACATAATTACTAGGAAAAACTGGTTCTTGCCCCCCGTCTGGCACAGTCACATCTTAGAATCTGAAAACCGTCCACACACACACAGGCCAAAAAGTCTTCAGATCCTCACTGACATTGAGTTACCTCCATGTTTTGCAATAAGCAGAGTTTAAGTGCATTTAACAAGCTCGGAGAATGTACAGTGTAATCCCCCATCAACTTTAACAGCAAAGAGAGTGGAATAATTAACTCCAAACATTGTAACACTGCGGAATGTCTAAGCTAATGCGACTTTAATTCACTGTTAGAGCCTGCTTTTGTCATTTCAGCTTTCTTTGGCTCAAAACAAACGCGGTAATGCCAGATGATTAGTGCTGCGTTCTGTTTTTACTGGGATTTCGTCTTTAAAGGGACGTTGATATATGGACCTCAAGGACACACGGCGATGGCAGCGCAATAAACCCCCCCGACGAAGAGCCCGGCCGGTGCCAGTAATGCTATTAAAATCTATTAAAGACAATGTGAGTCGACATGTCAATTTGTATTCAAGAAAGGCAGCGCAAATAAAAGTCTGATCTGATGGAAAACCAAATACACCACGAGGCAAAGGTTTAACAGACATTTTTTTCATGACGGTTTACGTTGTAGATTCTCACTGAACAGGGCTGGGAATCATTAAGAAGTTGTCGATACGATACATACCTCGATACGTAGGCCACAATACAATACCTCAGTTCCCCAGGGCTCCATATTAGGTCCTTTATTATTTTTATTGTACATAAACGACTTATGTTATATATCTCAAGATCTTACCCCAGTAATGTTTGCTGATGATACGACTTTATTTATATCCAGTGTTGGGAAGGTTACTTTTAAAATGTATTCTCCTACAGATTACAGATTACATACTCCAAAATGTAGTTTGTAACGGAATCCATTAAATTACTTCAAGTGAGTAACGTAATCTGAATACTTTGGATTACTTGATATTGTCATGCTTTTTAAAACTACATGAATGTACCAACCACATCTGGAAAATTCTTGTTTGTTCTCTTTAAATTCTCTGTTTAAATAAAACAAAAATTAAAAAAAACTAAAAAAAAATATTTGAACACTTGAGTAGCAGTGTACAGGGATTGTCACTTTTTTTTTTTTTGTTCGGGTGTTAATAAAGTCTTTCCATGGTTTCCAGCTTTCCTCATACCTGTCGTATTCCAATCTTTGTGTGAGCATCAGTCTTTCCATTTGTGAAATGTCTTCAACAATGTTAATCCAGTCCTCCAAGTTCGGTAGTTTGTCACTCATCCATTTTTTGGTTATTGCTTTCTTGCTTTCAACCAGCAGAAAGTTCCACATAGTTTTTTATTCCTTTGATGTCATCTGTCCATTTGCCCAAAAACAGTTTCAAAATTCAAAGGAATCTTTACTTTAAATATTTCATCAATGTTTTGTTTAATTTTCTCCCAATATTGATTCAATTTGGGGCAACTCCAAAAAACATGATAATGCCCAGCCTTTATATTCCCAAATAATCTCCAACGTGATGGATCCACCTTTGAATCTCTTTGTGCCGGCGTTTTAAAAAAGTGTACCATGCATTTCCACAGGTATGGGAAATTTAAGACCTTTGTGGAAAAAAATACGACTTTGACAACATAATTTAAGACATTTTAAGGCCTTTTAAGCCCCCGCGGCGACCCTGATGTTAAATATGACTGTGAATTAATGTCATATTAGAATATACCTGTGACCGAAATCACTAAATCAATCAAAATAACCTATATTATTGACTCAAAAAAAGACTAGTTAATTCATTAGTTCACTTTTATTCACATTATCCAACACATATAGTCATACCTCAAGTGTATCATGTGACCAGCTTTATGAAAATGAAAGAAAACATTCCGAAACAAACAAAAAACTCTTAATATTTTTATTGAATGAATGAAATAAAGTACACATCTGTAAGCTTCTAAAAACGCTCAGGTTCTACTGTACCCCTAACAATTTGGACTTAATTTTGACATGCTTAAGAAAACATTTAGCTGATCTCCAATTCGCCAAATTTTGTGCTTTAAGAGAAATCCAAAATGTTAAAACTTGTGTAACTTTACCGTAAATTTGAATAATATTAGACAAGCGTTGAGGCATTCAGTGGGTTTATTCAGTCCCTTGACAACTTGGGAAAATTACACGACAAAATCCCACAACAAGGACAGTTTCAGTACACCGGCCTGAGGTCATATATTACACACACGCACGCGCGCACACACGTTCACACACACAAATACGCAACTATTCGTTTCATTCGCTCATCCTTCCATTCATGACCCCAAGCTTCTTACCTGGACCTGTGCATCCAACACTTACCAAGCGAAGACGCCATATTCCATTACTACATCAAATTTTCAGGGACAGAAAAAACACAACTTTCGTATTTTGACTTGATTTTTGTACCAAATTGAACCTCTTAAAAATGAAAATAGTTAGCATTCATGTTCTAGGATCTAAACCCTGTGACAAGGAGGAGGAGATTTGTGGTTTCTGACAGTTACAGCATGACATACAAAGAAAGTCCGTTCTCTTTCGAATACGTTCGGCAGGTTGGGAGTTGGGTTGGCGTTTTTTTGTCGACTTTTGGAGCCGTGCCGTAACGAAAAATGCGCTTTTAAAAACCAAGAAAAGCAGCAGCGACTGTTAAAGGAAGAGATTTGAAGTGTGCTTTTGAACATATCGTCACCGATCTAGGAGCTCTTATTTTGAAAAGAAGCGAAAAACAGGAAACCCACGGGCCAACTCCCAAGCTGACCATGAAAACCGCTAACTGACAGCAAGCCTATGCACATTTTCGCGTCCTACATCTCCTAAAAATAAAGGACCGATTTTTTTTAAAGTTCACGCTGGCTGCAGAGACATGTAAAAAGGCATACAGTTCGCTTTTGTTAAGACTCAAAATCGGACAAGCTTTCTACACGGAAAAAAAACAAGTTCATCCCTAAAAAATGAAAAATAAAACCGCTGCGATGTGGAGGTCGGCGGAGAAGGGTGGCCTTTCCTTTTTTTTGTTTTCCTTTTTCGTTTTTACTCGGTAACACTTCCAAGAACGAAGCGTGCGGTCCACAGAGGAGGAGAGCTGGAGGAGGGCTGGAGGGAGGAGGGGGGGTTACGCGTCACTTTTTTTTGGGGCGCAGGTTAGCGGTCACTCGGTGGCTTTGAGCGAGAAGGAGAGCTTGGGCCTGGACTTGCCTTTGCCCAGGATGATTTTCTGCTCCTCCTTCTGCTGCCGTTGCCGGTCCTGCTCCAGCTTCATGCGCTCCTCGTGGATCTTTCTCTGCTCCTCCACAATTCGCAATTGGTCCTCGGCCTGTGGATGAAAAAAAAACAGGAGAAAAGGACAAATTATTACACGTAACGCACTACATTTTTGGTTTGAAAATGTATGATCAGAAGAGGTTTTATTGCCATTGTCGGAACATAAGAATGTGCATGTAAAAAGAGCACCTGGACTAGATCATTAAATGGTCTATTTTTGAACTTTTTTCACAAATAAACCGCACCGAACTTTAAAGGAAACAACAGTTGGATGGGTCAGTGGGACTTTGTTTGTGGCGTTCACGGTGACTCTGGGTTTTGTTCAGTTGTGGCGTGTAGGGAGGGTGCTGTTTGGCAGCGCTGGATTGTCAGCGCGTTCGCAGTGACTCAGTTGTTCAGTTGTGTCTAGAAGTGGCACATTGCTCCCGCTTTTTCGGTTCGTTCCTCCGTTCCGTTCCTCGTCGGCGTGGAGTGATGAGTGTAGCTGTGGGTGTTTTTCACTGAGCGGTCTCTCTGCTCCGTGTGTGTTTGTGTGCGCTGCGGGTGGTGCGGCTTTGTAGTTTACTGAAGTCGTGCTGGGACACCCGAGTGGATTCGTGTATAGGGCGCTCTGGATTGTGGCGCGCGCAGTCGTTTTTTGATGCGGTTAAAGGCTTAAGAGCGTGTCTAATAGTCCGAAAAGTACAGCAAGTGTTCTTTCTGTGACAGAGGATGAGCAGCTGATAGTGAGTCTGTTCTGTGTTTCTATCGCGTTGGAGATGGTCCGTGTGAAACTTTTCAGAGATTATACGTCTGCAGTTCATACAGACTGTGTAGCTTTAAAGGTTGTATGGAGGATTTTTTTTTTGTTTTTTTTGTTTCAAGTTGTCAATGATAGCATTATAGAGGTGCAGTAGCCTTGTAATTATGATGACCAAAAAAAAGAGAATAAAAATTCATCAACTCTGGACGTGGTGGGGCCAGCTAAACATTTGCCAATAGATAACGACATTGCCTCGTTATCTGTTTCTAGCGTTTCTAGCGTAACTGACCTGCCTGCGCGCCGCCGGTACGTGGTTTACGTACGACTGTCACGCAGTCCACAGACGCAAGACGCACAGACGCTGTTTACTCCACCAACGCAACAGTTCTTAGCGGCTTTTTTTGACCTATATCTTCCTCGCAGTTAGCACAAAGTTTGTTGCAATGGCGACAAGAATCCAGGAGCAGTTCGCCGCAAAAGAAAGTCCGTTTTTGAGGTCGCTGAAAGAAGAAGACAAGGGGAAAAGCAGCGAAGCCAAACTAAGGTGATTCTTGTAGATTCATTCCAGCGATGGCGCGACTGAAGCAGACGCAGGGTCTAAAGACTGACGCACTGGTCGCCAAATTACTCCTGGACAGGTCAACTTCTGCTTATTATGAAAACATACTTTATTTCCAAGAGCTAGTCAAACGTTTTTCAGGACACGAAAGCGATATCCTATGTCTGAAAACGTAATTTTCAAGGCAAAGAAAGAGTCCGCTTGCTGCTGCGTGTTGTAGCTAGTTCATTCGCACTGAATCTCCGCGCAACCTTCTCTGCTCCCCTTTCCTACTCCTCTCCCCGCTGCCCGTTCCGCTCTTCTCCCTTCTCCTCACTTCTACGGGCACGGAATCTCCGCGCACCGCACCGCTCCCCTCTCCTCTCTCCTCTCTCCTCTCTCCCTGCTCCGCTCTTCTCCCTGCTCCTCACTTCTCGTCCGCGAACGAAATGTCCGCACACCCGCTCCCCCCGCTCCTCACTTCTCCGCCTTGCCTAACCAACACTGTAGTTAGTTGTTTACAAGTCATGTGCAGCTCACCGGCTGTAAACAAACCTGTTTCTGGCGTAGTGAGGAGGCGGGAGAAGGCGTTTCTACGTAGGGAGCTGTAGGGGAGGGGGGGTGGTTTCACGCATGCACAACATTTGAAAAAGGACAAACAGTCGCTGGATTTCTCGTTCCTTGGAAAATCCTCTATACAACCTTTAAGTTGTACTAAAACATTTTGGTAATACAGTAATACTGTATGTCCCGGTAAAATCCTGAGAGGGTTTAATGATAACAAAATTTACCACCCAACCCTACTACTGTATTTTCTGCGCTCTTAAGCCTCCAACCCCATCAAAAAACGACCGCGCACCACAATCCAGAGCGCCCCATACACGAATCCACTCGGGTGTCCCAGCACGACCTCAGTAAACTACAAAGTCGCACCAACCACGCCGACGAGGACCAGAACGGAGGAACGAACCAAAAAAGCGAGTGCAATGTGCTACTTCTAGACACAACTGAACAACCGAGTCACTGCGAACACGCCGACAATCCGTTGGTCCCAGACAGCACCCTCCCTACACGCCACAACTGAACAAAACCCAGAGTCACCGTGAACGAACAAACAAAGTCCCACTGACCCATCCAACTGTTGTGTTTCGTTTAAAGTCCGGTGCGGTTTATTTGTGAAAAAAGTTTGAAAATAGACCATTTAATGACAGTGCGTCTTATAATCCAGAGCGCCTAATAGCCCGGAAAATAGGGTACATTTGTTTCCTGTCCATTGTTGTGATGGTTTTAAGTCACCATTTAATTATTAAGTACTTGAATTTGAATTTATTCATGGAAAACCCCGTGAGACGCAGCATCTCCTTTTCAAGAGGGACAAAAGTGAAAAAATGCATAACACAAAAATATCCGGCGAAGGCTTTTTTTTTTTTTTTTTGCCGAGACGTTATTTAAAAATAAAAAAGCTTTTGGACATCGCCCGTCTAAGTGTGCTAAGCATTATTTCTAGGGATGCAACAATAACTGAAATATCGTGATATCATATTGTCAAAGTTCTCATGGACCATCACAATATATCGAATTACAAGTATCTTTGCTTAAATGAAAAGTGCTTATAAACTCAGAGGTGAATAGTTAGTACCCCCGAAACGCTTTAAGAAAGAGGAATAACTTTGGTCCACTGCAAACCAGAGTGAACTAGTTCTGTTTTTCACATTTTTAAGACTAAAAATCAGGTACAGCACGTTTAAGATTATACTGGTTATGCAATTTACCACATTTTGAAATTCCCCATTTATAAACGCAGTAACAGTAGCCTTATAATGTTTACAATAAAATCAAACTTTTCGTAAACCTGGCCGCGCCGTCGTGAGGTCAAACCGGGACAAACCGGAGTTCTCCTGAAGCCAGCTCCTACAAAAACTGGCTCGTCCTCTCAATCTGTGGCAACTTTGTTTTCTATTAGCGCTTAAGCCCAAGTTTGTCTACACGGGGAATGAATCAAATAAACACCACTTTACAAATGAGTCAGACTTGGCCCCTCGGAGCAGAGAGAGGGACGTGGTTAGCCATGGCAGAACATGCTCCGATAACTATCACCTCACATCCACTCAGCTCGGGGACCGGGGCCAGAGGACTTGATCTTATTGGGTCTTGTTGTGGACGGGTTTATCGCAGGAAGAGCAGATGGAGCAGATGTGGAGGCCTGACTCATCTGCCTGTGTTCGGGGCCTGTTTGGGTTCCAGTGGCTAATCAGGATCACTTTACACTAGCCACGGGGTTTTTAAAAAAGAGCCCATATTGTGCTATTTTTTCTGATTTATGTTTTAGAGTTGTTTCCTCATCGCAAACAGACCTGGAGTTGTGTTTTGTTTCATTCACACATGTTTGGTTAACTCTCTATTATTAGTCTGTCTGCATCTCCAAAGCTCAAAATGTTAACGGTAAAATTTTGCCCAGCAGAGATTGGCAATTCCAGGGCTGAAATTATCCGAATGATTCTAGTGAGTGGAGTTTTAATCACAGTGGAGCTTCCTGTACATCACAAAGTGGAGCAGAGTTTCTGTTTGAGAGAAAAACTCAGTCTAAATCTGCAGGGTTTGTGTTTTAAACATGTGAAGGAAACAAAACACAACTCCAGGTCTGTTTGAGATGAGGAAATGACATTATAACAGATCAGAAATGGTGTAATTTCGGCCTAATCCGTGTATCATTAGTTCATTCGTTTTTCAAAATAAAATCAAAATTAAGAAAATGAAAAACTAACAATTTTATTCATTATTTGTCTCCAAAGCCAAAATGAAAAAACTGAAAATGATTTGTTTTTTTCAGTTTTTGGAAAAAACAGATAACGGCTGTTTCCCGTTTCCGTGATTTAAACTGCAAACCCGGACTTTTACGCCGCATACGGACTGAACCAGGACTAAACCAGGACTACAGCAAGTCTAAACCAGGGCTAAACCAGGTCTAAACCAGGTCTAAGCCAGGTCTAAGCCAGGTCTAAGCCAGGTCTAAGCCAGGTCTAAGCCAGGTCTAAACCAGGACTAAGCCAGGTCTAAACCAGGACTAAGCCAGGACTAAACCAGGTCTACACCAGGACTACACCAGGACTACACCAGGACTACACCAAGACTACACCAAGACTAGGCCAGGTCTAAACCAGGTCTAAACCAGAACTAAACCAGGACTATAGAAGGACTACAGCAGGTCTAAACCAGGTCTAATCTTGGACTAGTCTTGGACTAATCTTGGACTTGAGAGAGAGAGAGAGAGGAGGAGAGACGGAACCCTGAGCCTATGGAGCAGTGTCCATAAAATGCGATCGGGTGACCACTGAGTCCTGCGGAGCGCCGGTCCTTTCACCTGCAGTCACCCGACAGTCTCCACAGGTGCACCTCTGGGCCTGTCCCAACACTCAGTCCTGGTTCAGTCCATATGCAGCGCAAAAGTCCAGCATCACAGTTTAAGTCATGGAATCGGGAAACGGCCGTTATCGGTTTTTTCCATTATTAATTGAAACACAAAATCAAAAACTGAAAAAAAAAAATGAGTCGTTATCCGTTTCTTCATTTTGGTTTTGGAGACAAATAATGAAGAAAATAGTTGTTTTTTTTTCGTTTTCTTACTTTTGGTTTTATTTTCAAAAACAAATGAATGAATGATACATGGATTCCTTTAAAATATAACTTCTGTTTTCTAATTTTGTGAAAAACAAAACTAGTACATATTAGGGATGGGCATGATTAATCGATAATTGATCATTAAGAATTTCATCGATTACGTTAATTTTAATCGACAAACCGAATGTAGGTTGCTGTGCGTAGCGTGACCAAACAGGGGTCTGTACATGTGTGTCTCTGCTCTCAGAAGGAGCGAGACACAAACAGAAACATTCGGTGAGTCTGCAACGTCCCGAAGCACAAATATGTATTTAACGATGATTTGTACAAGAAATTCCACGCTTTCCGTTGCGTTCGGGACAAGTGTGAGTCCATGTGCACAGTGAACAAAGCAGCACATATGTTTCAGTGTCCAGTGGGAAAGTTTTACCAGGTGAGAGTCGCGCAATGTCGATGACGAGTCCCCACCTCCCTCCCCCCGTACGGTGTCCTGGTTTTGACAAACGCAAATCTGGTCACACTAACCTGTATTCACCTGAGTCATGTCTTTTAATCCGACAGAAATTGACAGCATCAGCGACACAAGAGCTGTAGTTTTATCTTCACTGAGTTTATGCAAATTAGCGATGCGGTTTTAAGTTTTGTGAGAGTTGCGCAAAACTGAATTAAACACATTATAATGTCAAATGGATTGATGTGGCTCTAGAGTCGTTACGGTTTATATGTCGTAAAGTTGAATTTATTTATGCAGATTAGTAGTGCAGATAGTAATAATAATGATGATAATTTTAATATAAAAACGTTAATGATTAATCGATAATCGATCGTTAATTCTTCCAACGATCGATTAAGAAAATTTCATCGAATGCCCATCCCTAGTACATATGACTGTTTGCAGGTCCACACTTATTCCTCACTTTCCCAACGCATTCCAAGGATCATAATCACGAGCCAAGTTTACGAGCACTTTTTACAAGCACCGTGTTCAGAGTTTGCAGTCATAGTAATGCAAACAACTACTAGTATGCAAACAGTGCACCAGTCTTACTTCCCGATTTGGAGACAATAAAACACAGACAGCACACAGCGGACTTTTATTTTGAGCTGTGCAGTTGTATAACATTAGAAGGTTTAGAGTGTTTTTTTTGTTGTTGTTTTTTTTTTGCTCTAGGGGAGGTCAAATTTTAAATCCAAATGTCTCAGAACTATTTCGAAGAACCCTTTTTTTTTTTTTTAAAGGGGAGAATTTGTTGAAAATCCAAACTTAAAAGTGTTGAAAACATTAAGATGAAGTACCTATAACTGTCCAATTAATCAAATTTTGATCAGGATTTCGATTTGTGTGTCAAACAATTAAAGCGTATCAACATTTATTTTGGGATTTTTTTTATATAAATTATAAATAAAGGATATTTATTAAATTTTTTAAGTATAGAGATTGTAGAACAGCTGGATATATAGTTTATTTTGGATATATTTATGTTTTTATATGCCTTATTTCATGTTCAAAGTATATTTTCTTCATTTTATGTTTTATAAATCACAAAACTGCTCTAAGATTCATATTTATAGCCTTTCTATTTGAAAGTTTTGCGTAAATTATCAATAACAAAATGTTTTTAAGAGAGAGAAATGCTGAATAAACGCATCGTGTAACTAAAAAATAATCATTTGAATAGCCGTGATTTCAATATTGACCAAAACAATCGTGATAATGATTTTTTCCATAATCGAGCTGCCCTAGAAGTACCCCTAAAATTTTATGGAAAAGGCCTCTTACGCGAAGTAGTTTTTGTTCCCTATAATATATTACACGAATAAGTGACAGTAAAGTAAGCTATACATGTTCTCCAAGTTGGGTTTGCTTCAGAGGAATGGGAAAAAAAAAGGTTATTTCAAAAGAAAACCCTGAACGATTGGGTTTTATGTGTTCTGCGCTCTTAATATAAAAATATAACAGTTATAAATGGCCTTTTCCTGCTTTAATGTTATGTAAACCTACTTCGTCTTTGGATTCTGACAGGCTGATATTTGTGTATTTGGTTACATGGGGATTAATGATGGCCTGGTGGTTCAAAATGAGCAGTGCTATAAATTGCGGGCGGTAAAATTGACAGTAGTGAAGAGGCGAGTGCCCAGAGAAGGGGGCACGGAGCGAGGGATCGGCCCGGGTCGTGTTGTGTAGTGTAGCGTGTGTGTGTGTGTGGGGAACGTACCAGTTTGGCCTGAGCTTCTGCGATCTTGCGGTTATTCTCTTCCAGGATTTTTTCCAACTCCTCCCGCTTGGATTTTTCTTCCTCCTAGACGGGAGACACGGTGCCACGTTAGCGCACGAACGGGCTCAGGTATGCTCGCATTCACACACAAACCTCTATTGGACCCACACACTCCGGTTTCACAGCCTTCACTGGTTTACAGGCAAACGGCACTCACTCCACACAGAAGCTGCTCCAGTCTCACACACACGTGCCACTCTCCACTCATCCCAAATGCTTTTAAATACAAAACTGCAGGGGAGAATTGAGCCCTGTTCATGTTTTAAGCCCTCCCTCTAGTGCTGCTCTGAAATTATTTAAAACAAACAAAAAAAATCAAACCTAGGCCACATTGCTTTGCACTGCATTCTAAGAGGAGGACCCCACTCATCACACTCATAAGACATTTAAAAATGACAGACAGTACACTCTAAAGGTAACATCATTAATAAAAAGCAGAGAAAGTTACAAATAAATAAAGTAGGGAATAGTTTTGGCTCACCAATGCACGTATACCTACGCTTTTCCTTTTACGCTTTGCCTGTGTACCTACACAACTGATGAAAGAGTCAGCGTTAAACGGTTGTATTTACTGTCTGGTCCGGAGTGCGCCCCCTGCTGACAGAAGCGCTCCTGGTGGGTGGGTGCGGAGGAGGTAGATGTAGGTATGGGCCAAACCGTGCCCTCAGCATTCCTCTGTATTTATCGGGCACTCAGGGTACTCAGTACCACGCTCAGCCACACCAGCTCAGCCCACAGAGTTTAACTCTCAGTCTGAATTCAAGGCTAAACCATCCTCCACTCTGCACAAAGGTGTCCTTCTGCAGAACTGACTCAAAGGGCTGGGTCTGAAGAGGGAAACAGTTTACAAAGAAAGTTGGGGAGTTTTAAAATGCTACTCAGGATGTTTGGGTATATTTCTACTTCTCAGATAAGTTAAGTAGCATGTGAGTGTTTCTTTTGTTACCTACATTCAAAGGCGAGGTGTACAAAGGCCACACTTTGAAATATGCATGAGTGTTTCATCCACTGACTGGACTGAATAGAAGGTCAATTTAAACAAAGTAGAAACATATAAAGAAAACAGGCGAGGACCCAAAATAAAGCCCTGTGGAACCCCACTGGTGAGGAGCTGTACCTGAAGAGTGGGGGGCCAAAAACGCTGAACACACTTCAGCAACTGTTACTCAGCTCCTTTTCTACTCCTGAGTGCAAACGAGAGAGTTGTATCTGAAAGCTACCGTGGCTCTCACAGGAGTTTCTATGGACAAGAAGCAGAGGGGCACCTTTGGCGAGGGTTCAGGACGCGATGGGCCTGAGCAGACATGAGCGCGTCACAGCTGGAGCGAGCAGCGGTCAGAGCGGTGGCTGTGTAATATTAATAGTCTGTGTAAGTCTGAGTGCAGTGTCTGTGTGTGTGGGGAGGACGCACCACGGCGCACTTACAGTACAGGACACGCTGCCGTCTGCTCGCTCAACGCTAGTTAGGAGGGACATAAGTCGTGTGTCCAGAGTCAAAACAACATGTTTACACAGATTTAAAACAGTATCAGAACTTAGCAGCACCCTATAGGAGAACAAGGCATGAGAACACAACACAGTACATTTGATTGGCTTCCAAAATGTTTTCAAATTAAAGTGTAAAAAATACTTGGACAGATAAAAGACCAAAGACAGTTGGAAACAGGATGTGGATTACTATGAGTCCCACTGCAGCTAAGAAAACATTTGAACATGCATTTCAAAGTGAGAGGGGGGAGGGGATAAAAAGGCAAACTGGACTTATCAAAAATGTACTTTTCAGACTGAAGAGCACAGAAAGAAAGAGTTTTAAAGAAGTTTAAAATAGGTCTTTGGACAAATAACCCTGTGTATGGATTTATTTTCTAATTTAGTACTGTGTTTTAACAGATTGACGACTTTCTAACTTTAATTAATTTATTTTAAATGTGGGTAGATGAGGATGTAGCAGGAGGGGTAAGTCGGGTCACTGGGCTTTGGCTCGCCCTCTCACTCACTACAACTAAGAAGTGTAATGCCAACAGAAGCGTGGGACAAGGGGGAGCCTACAAGAGTCCACAGGAAGACAAGACTAGGGCGCCGTGGGTTACTGCAGTTTCTAATCCAGTTTACTACCTTCTCTAGTAAATGTGCAGATTAAAGTAAAGTTAAAGTTAGTTGGATAAAGGCTAATATTGACTCAAATGTTCTAAAAAGCTCTTTGCACAGGAATGTCACCAAACATGTGGGAAGCCCTGTTTGCAGTCGTGTGGTACGTCTATAGTGGGATTCTTTTCCAAATTCATAGATAACTAAAGAGATTAAACATTAAACTATAATAAAAACTATAAACTATACTAGGGATATAATGACTTTGAGAATTTCAACAGGACTGAAAACTGGGTACCAAGCAGTTTGGTGAACAGGAACTAGCCAGATGTTCTTGTGCACAGAACTCATTGCTTTGAATAAACAGTGAGATCAGATTTGTTGGTGGACCATGAGGGGTACTGGGGTCCCTGTGCGAGCCCAGGGCATAAGGGGGGAGCACATGGGGCAGTGAGGGGCTCCATTCCCAACGACCGAGCGTTACCTCTCTGGCCTTCTGCGCGGCCAGCTCGGCCTGCCTCTGCCTCTCCAGCTCCTCCAGCAGCTGCCGCTCCATGATGCGCTTGGCCTCCTCCACGCGCCGCAGAACCTCGCGCTCGATCTCGTCTTTGCGTTTCTCCAGCTCCTCCTCCACACGTTTGGCCACCAGCTCCTCCACACGCCGCGCCGTCTCCTCCTCAATCAGCTTCTCCTCGATCTCCTGCTGCCGACTGCACAGAAAACCATAAAAAAGGGGCAGGTCAGAATGGGTCAGATGAACACTTCTAGATGAACACCAGCCACGACTCCAGATTATAGAATGTGATTTGTAAGAAATAACCAATAGGAAAATTGACAAAAATAGACACCCCCCCAATTGGTATTTAGTTCTACTGCTTTTGCATTTGAAACCAAGCAGTATATATTTAAAAAAAATGTGTTAACGATATAATTACTGTATGTTTACAATGTAATTGATGCTAGATCAGATACTCAGCGATGGTGTTTGTCCACACTTGTTTAAGGATATTTAAATCATAGCTGTGCTTTCACTCATTATCACCCTAACCCTAACCTGAACCCTTTTCAGTCGTTATTGCCGTTTTTAGCCTCAGCCTCCACAGTGAGTGTTTCATGTGTCTCTGGGTGTTTCCATGAACAATATGATATGGGCGCTGCCCCAACTATGAATGCATTCTGTTCAATCATGAAAGTCACATGAACCAGGAGCGTTAAGTGTCTTGCTCAAGGACACAATCTGAATAGGACTTGAGCCACCGTCCTTTTGGATATAATGACATTTTACCAGGTCACCCACTGTCGATTAATACTTCTGTTGCCGTTTGTGATGCACCATTATTTTGAATATTTTGACAGTGGGTTGACTGCATTCCCCAAACCAGAGGATATCAGCGTCAAAGCTCCCCACTCACATAATATCAACACTGTAACTGCGCCTCGAGACACTGAAAACCTCACGGCAGGAGCAGAGCACATTTTTATTAGACTCTGACCACTCAAAGTGAGAAATGTGGCTGACAGGACAAACAGCCTGGTTTGCTGGTGCACTCTTCCAGTTAATAAAGCCACATGAGGCGCTGTGCTGCACTTGTTATTATGGCTAGAGCAGTTTTCCACAGACCACTGCTGCTGCTCATGTTCTGCTCTGGGGCCATTTCCATGGGGCCCTGAGCGCGTGCAGCCACAGGGCCCCAACGCTGAGGGCCAGGGCAGTGCCATTACTCCAACACTTACAGTCAGCAATAAAGAGCCCTTTATGGTTTAGACATTTGTGCATGACATTTTGTTTAGTTTTCATTAGGGGACAGATCTAATGTTACAGATGGCTTCACACTGCAGCAGGTCTGAAGGTACAAAAGGCTGCCTACAACCGTGTAAGATGCAAATGGACCAAACATGCATGCTATTCTTTTTATAGTTCAGCAGTTCCTCATTCAGCAGTGTTTTCCCAAATGGACGTGACAGAGACACAGACAGATGCAATATTTGTTAGAAAAGTTGCAATGAATCAAAACGTATTGATATGAATTATTTGGGCTTGATCTTTTTATCTGATATTTTCGGTATAATTTCTTGGGTTTAAGTGAATGCATAATTTAGAGGGACATTTTAAATGCATCCAAAATAAAGGCTATTGTCTTTTTGGGTATTACATTGTTTGTCAACAATCTTCTCATAGTGTTGTCATTGTGTTTCTTTAAATAGAGCTGAGATAATCCAAGCCGACGGCCAGCACAACAGTTCCTTTCCTTTTATTAAACTGGTATTGTCCAGAGTGACTCCAAACAGGAAGCCGTTGGAGGCCAGGAGGGTTGCTTGTGTCACAACACGGGCTGCCTCCTCAGATCTAATTTCACTGGGTCAGCTCAACTCTGAGAAACCAGAGCCTGGCCTGTCCTTATCTGCACGGTCCCAGTGGCTCCACATTAGCATCTCTATGTGACGCTGAGTGGCCCTGTGGCTATTAGCGCTGAGGAGAGCAGCGCTGGGCACAGCAGGTGTGGGACAGTCCTGTTCTCAGGTGTGTACAGCCTCAGGCTAAAACACAAAGTTCACAAAGAGCAATGCCCATTTGACAGACCTCATCACACCAGAGCAGGGTCAGAGCTGCAGGCTCAGGGCTGGACTTTAAGTGTTCCAGGAGCCCGGAGTGACAGGCTGTTGACCTCAGCTCGTCCTACAGCGTTTCACTGACGCTACAGCTGCTCTGCCTTTTGTCATAAATCAGCCAGTAGTTTGAGAGAAAGTCTACCAATACCACACTAATGAAATTATACCTTTTACATGTGTCATTTCACCTTTTACAAGCCTCTGGCTTGTTTCAAAAAGTCAAATTATAATGTGTAGTGATGGGTCTATTATTAAATTATTGACCTTATCAAGTTTTACATCTCAGGCCTTATCACAGACTCCTGCTGTGTTTTCTCCTGCTCAAGGAGCAGCTCTTCCTTTTCCAAAGTGCCTCAGTGTGAGGCCAGAGCAGCACTAATGTCCAAAAGTGCCAAAGTCAGCACAATTTACACAGTTTTGATGCAGTTGTTTAGTGGAGACTATTTAAAGTCTTACACACCTTAAAAATAACCACATCACTGTTAGAAAAACTATATTTAAAATAATAAAACTGAAGCACTGACATTAAGAGTTGTATTGTTGGCTTAAATGTGCATTGACGTGCACAACAGATCATGTTACGGTTTGATCATTTACATGAGTCACGCAATCATGCATCATCAGTAACATGAGAAATGCAAGAATATTTAGTAATAAGTTGGCAAATCAAATATGGCACCACATAATCACAATGGCCTTAGTCTGAACTCTGCGCACTGGTGAAACATGATGAGTGACAGTTCTCCTCTAGAGCCGGGCCTGTCCAGAGCTAACATTAGCACGGTCTTAGCTTAGCATTAGCCTGCGCACAGCAAACCCAATGGGAACGGATGCTAAAACTCAGGCTAACTAGCATAGCATGAAGGCTGCGACAAGTTCCTGCAAAAACAACAGAAAAGCGCTCACATTTTCCTCTGTCGCTCCATCTCCGCCTTCCTCTCCTCTTCCTCCTTCTTCTGCTTCTCGTCCAGGGCGTTCCTCTTGCTCAGGGTCCGGCCGAAGATGTCGATGCGCTCGGGCGGTGAGGCGGCTCTCTCTCTGCGGGACGAGGCGGTGTTGGAGCGGGATCGGGAGCGCGATTCCCGGCGGCGGTTCCTCTTCGACTCCCGGGACTTGGACCTCTTCTTGGAGCGCTCCCGGTCCCTGGATCTGGACCGTGATCGGCTGCGCTTCTTGCTGTGTTTGCTGCTCTTGGAGGGTTTGGACCGGGACGTGCTGCGGCTTCGCGAGCGGCCCATGTTGACGGGCTCCGGGCGCCGCTGTTCACAAGACTCTGAGCGGCTCACGACCGAGATAACCCGCTGATCCTTGTCTACAGCTGCCGTGAATTCAATCGGGCCAGTTTACTAAGCAAATAACTTTATTCTGTTAAGAGAATCATTAAAATGTGCTTGTTATTTTGCCCTCCTAGCTTCGGTGAGAAGAAAGATGGCGGACAGTCGACGGTTGTAATTTCCCAGCATGCACCACGAGCTTCGGGATTTTCCGTCAGTCTTCGGAATTTTTTTATTTCGGAATTTTATTTTCTTTAATTAAAAAAAAAAGCAAAGTATCAATATTTTATTTACAGTCTGCTTCTGCACCAAGTCTTATGATACCCCGCAATTTCACTTTATTATAATGCAAAAAAAAAAAAAAAAGTTGAAATAGAGTTTTAATTTAGCAAAAAATGTAATAAAATATGCTACTACTACTACTACTACTACTAATAATAATAATTAATAATAATAATATAATAATAAAATAATAATAATAATGAAACAAACACAACAGTAACAATATTATTATATTATTATTATTATTATTATTATTATTATTATTGTTGTTGTTGTTGTTGTTGTTTTATTGCTAAATTAAAACGATAATATTTTAACTTTTTTTTTTTTTTTTTTTTTTTGCATTATAATAAAGTTCAACTTTGTATCACTTCCTCGGGGGTGTAGTGCTAACTGTAGGTGCTGCTCTGTGTCTGAGGCTCTTTTAGACTTTAATCTGAGTTTGTTTCATTTCAACACAATCTGACCAGAATGAATGTACTTAGTTGGAACTACAACAGCTCATTTGCCCCTCTCAAATAGCATTACAGTTACAAACTAGGAGTATTCTTTTTTCTTTTTTTTTAATTTCATTTCATTTGCAACACACAACATGCACACAGACATTAGACAGAACAACAGAACAAGTACAATACAATACAAATGCATACACCGCCACAGCAAGACAAGTAACCCAGGGGTCTCCAACCTTTTTCTTTCAGTGAGCTACCTCTACAAAACAAAAATTCTAGAGAGCTACACATTTTAGCAGTTGCAGAAATTTTTGCACATATAACAGCCATGATAATCCTTAGATGGGGAACAGGTTAGATCTCTATAAAACAATTATGCACAAAGTTAGGCATCAAAATCATACATTTACAAAGGTAATTAATTCAATTTTACTTATTCAGCACAGTATGTATAATTCAGAACTCATTTGGCGAGCTACTAGGAAGGAGGTGGAGAGCTACTGGTATCTCCCGAGCTACAGGTTGGAGACTCCTGGTGTAAAGTGTGTGCGTGTGTGTGTGTGTGTGTGTGTATGTACGAGTAAGAGTGTGAGGTTTCAGCGTCAGTAAATATAAATGTCTAATTGTGTACAGTTTTGTAAAGGTTCTTAACAGTTTATTAGAGGGATAAGCTCAGTGTTGAGAACAATGACAACTGTGGAAATAAAAACAGTACAAGTAGGAAGAGGAAGAGGTGGGGGAACCTAGTTATGTTTGTTAAAGAGTTTTTTGGATTGGTGTTTAAGCCTCGACATTTTTTCATGTGCCCCCATTTGCATTTGTGAATTATCTTTTTGAATATTTCTCATGAATTTTGAATCATCAATTTAGAAGTTTTACCCTACATTTTAAAATAAGAAAACCACAAATTGTAATCAGTGTAAAAGGTTATAATTTAAAATTTATTTGAATAGGCTCTGTGTAACGATAGGCATAGGACTACAAAGATACCAATCAACTTTATTATTGCTATTTCGTCATTAATAGTATACAACTGTGCAGACGTAAGACAATAATTACATTTCTGATCAAACTATAGCCTAAATGTTGTGATAAATTTAAAGGATTCTACTCACACAGCCTAATAATAATAATCTAAAAATGCAACTGTCTGTAGAGTGTCAGTGGTTTAAAAACATTCAAATCAATAATTGCTAATCAGTTTGTCTTTAACACATTCTCCTATAATTCCCACGTGTAAAGATCTAATTGTTATGGGGTCTAAGCTCTACAAATGTACCGCTTTTGTCACAGAATTTCCTTATTAACACTTAGCCTACCGCTTTCTAATGTAATAGGCTGCAAGTGGAGCCTGTTTCTAAGGCCTATAATCCCTTGGCCTTTTTAGACACGGGTCACTCGGGTCAATAAAATGGTCAGGTTGCAGGCTTCGTTTGACTGTAATATGTTAAATGTTCTAAATTGGTCTACTGCAAGAAATACAATATAGTTAGTGCTTAATCCTATTTTAAAGATGCAACATGTAACTTTTCAAGTGAGAACCACCTGTTTGTAATCATGGACATATTTAATTTTTCTTTTAAGGTCATACTTTGCCTGGAAGTATGGCCATTAAACTTCACAATCTTGCATTTAGTCAGATACATGTTTGTATGTTAAACCTACAAAGTACATTGGAAAACTTGCATTCTCACTGGGCTTGCCTTTCCACAGATATGACCTGTAGCTTGACGGTCAATGTGTTTTAAAGTTGTTTTCTTATCAGAACCATAGCCCACCTAGAGTTGTGTTTTGTTTCATTCACACAAACCCTGATGATGATGATGATATTTAAGCTGAGTTCTTCTCTCAAACTGAAAAGGCTCTGTTCCTTCTGATGTCATGTGGTAATACAGGAAGTGCTCCACTGTGTTTTTAAACTCCATACACCTTCACCAGCATAATTTAAGCTATGTTTACACTGAAACGAATCACCGTATCACTGTATCGTAAACGATTTGCCTCCAGACACGTCATTTCTGTGTCCACAAGTCTTCCCTATCCACACAGCCTTGAGCATATCTGTTTACGTTTTACAGAAATGAAACTTAAAACCACATGGCTCATTTGCATAAACAAAGGCTCAAAACACAGCTCTCTCCTTGTGCGCTGATGCTTTTCAGCTTCTAAAGGACACGACTCAGTGGAATATGAGTGTTCTTTCTGTGACAGAGGGGTGTTCTGCTGATGGTGAGTCTGTTCTGTGTTTCTATCGCGTTCGAGATGGTTCATGTTAAACTTTTCAGAGATTATACGTCTGCAGGTCGTACGCGTAGACCTATAGAACTATACTTCGCCCTTTGACGCGTAACCGCCTGAAATGCAAGTAAGTTGCAGCAGCTGAATTCCAGCTGAGAAAAACAGTCTTTTCGTGGACCGTGTACTAGCAAGTAGTTCTAGCTACGCTGTTTCCCGTTTTCCGCAATAGCGCCACATGACAGAGGAAGGAGGCGCAAGTCACAGTGACGTGGTCCAATAAGGACGGCAACTAGAGCTTCTACATCAGCGTATCAACGTTTTCAGGCATCCAAACAGTGCAGGTTCAGATCTGTACTCAGATGAATTCGTGGGAGCTGGCAGTACCTGATCGTTCCATCTCTGAAGCCATTTTCCACCGGATTAATGTTGACAAACACTGCATCCACAACGAAAACGACTCGAATATGTCTAGTGTGGATGGGGCCTTAGATAATTTCTGTCTTGGATTTGTCAATCTCTACTGAACAAAAGGTGAAAAGTAGCTGTTAACTTGAAAAGTACTGCTTAATCACGTCACAATGTGGAATTAAGCGTTTTGAGCTTTGAAAATGTAGAAAGAGTAATAATAAAGTGTTACTGCAAACCTGTGTGAATGAAACAAAACATAACTCCAGGTCTGTTTTTGAGAAGTAAACAACATTCTAACATGACTTAAAGCTCACAAGTCAGTTTTGCATAATATAAAGCCTTTAAAAGCTTAAAAACTGTAGAACATTACAAAGCAAAGCAACAGAACTGAAGCAAGAACATCTCCATGAACCTATGAAACCAGCAGCCAGCGTGTTCTTTTTACGCCAAAGAAAAAGAAATATGTTGACTGCTACTTTTTATTTATGTGATCTACTTTCAATAGAACCACTTTAAGTTCAAAAATAGAGCGAATCACAATGAATTCAGAGCGGTATGTTGAAGAAACAGCACATTTTGTCCCAGTTTAACCTATATTTAACTGCTCATTTTTCACGCCTATCTGACGCTCTATCTGCTGCGCAAACCCGCCTTTTATCTCAGCCGTAAAATATAGCGACGAGGCCATCAGATAACAGGCAAAACACAACGAAGCAGAGAAGACAAACTTAAAAACTGTCGCTGCTCGGCTAAATCAGGCTATTGTGAACCTTCTCCCCAGAGGCTCGGCCCAAAATAGCCCTCCGCGGTTATATTTAAAAGCACATAATTCACAAAAGTCGGGCGTTAGATCCATTCAATTTGTCATTTTGCTTTAATTTTAGAGTTTGTAATTGCGTTTTTAAAAAGTTGTCAGGTTTTGTGGAATAAAAGGAGGCACTGTCAATGTAAAAAAAAAAAAAAAAAAGAACTGATAAAATGTTTACTCAGACGGTTGGTAGTAACATTCCTGGTCACAGACTGGAGAAAGAAGCGGATATTGTGAGATTAATAGATCGTGAGTTCACCCACAGCGTTCTGCTCCAGTCAAATGAAGCTCATCGAGATAGGCAGTTATAGGGGTGAATTTGGAGCCAAGTTCCGTATTTGAAATTCCAACCATGGGTATCGTAGCAACCAAAAAGTAAATCCGGAGAGAGGTGGTGGAAGGTAACACCTGTCCTGTCTTCGCCGCTGGTATAATATGATGAAAATATTGTGAAATAAAAACACCAGGATCGTTGTAGAGTGGGTTAATACAAACATTTTAGGACCAAAATAGCGAGGCTCACATTCTCCAGACGTGAGATATATATATAAAAAAAAAGAAATATAAAATAGCTACAACGTAAATATCAAACCGGAGCTACTGGCAACGGTGAAAACAAACTGCAAAGGCTCATGAAATCTGCAGTACTGTCCTATAGTGACCTGACACATGAGGGACCAGGACTAAACCAGGACTAAAACAGGACTAAAATAGGACTGAACCAGAACTGAAACAGGACTGAACCAGGACTGAAATAGGACTGAACCAGGACTAAACCAATCGCGCTTTGTGGACACTCTGCTCTGCGGACTCGGGGCTCTCCCTCTCTCTCTAGTCCAAGATTAGTCCTGGTTTAGATCTGGTTTAGTCCTGTTTTAATCCTGGTTTAGTCCTGGTTTATTCCTGGTTTAGTCCTGGTATAGACCTGGTATAGACCTGGTTTAGACCTGGTTAAGTCCTGGTTAATTCCTGTTTTAGTCCTGGTTCAATCCTGTTTAGT